AAAATATTTAACTTCATTCAATTTATTATATAATTTATACTTATTGAATAAAATAATTTAATTTATTTTTTATGCATATTATTATTATGCTTTTATTAAAAAAAATTTTTTTAATTTGCATAGTAATACAAAAGAGAATAAAAATTGTTGAATTAAAAAAGTTCGTTTAATAAATTTAAATCCGAATGCAACACATACAACTTAAATATTCTTAAAATCAAATCAAAGAGTAAAATTTCACAACAGGGAGAACGGATACCAGGAGATTTGGTCGCTATGCGAATTTTTTCTGTAGTAACTACCATGATGATGAAGAGGAGGAGACGGTGATTGATCTTGTTCGCTTATTCAACTTTAACGATAGTAAGGTGGAGGTACGTTTTTGTATTTAAGTTTTTAATAATCTTATGCGCGATCTTATAAAAACTTATTAGTTGAGGTTTAGTTTAGGCTTATTTGTTCAACCGCCAATTAAGTTTCATTTTAATTTCAATATTAAGTAAATAAATAGTAGAAAAGTCCAAACAGTCCGTAATGCATTCCAAGAATATTATGAAAGTAGAAGACTATATAATTATGTCAATATGGAACACCTAATGCATTACACTAATCTTCTAATATTGTAAGTAATATTTCTTTGAGTCACGATGAATTATTATGCATTTAATACACTAAATTTAAGCATCAATTTTACTTCAAGTAAAACATGCCTTCATTCATTAAATTTCAGAGGAAATATTTCTCACAAAAGAATGCTGTGTTTAAGGTTTTGATTCAATTTGGCTTAGATTTTCGAAATAACAATAATGTTTTTTTAATTTTAAAAACAAAAAATCAAATACAAACTGTTGATTACTGGCACAAAACCCATTATTAATATTTTTCTTTTGTAGTTTTTGAAAGACGGATATTTCAATTTTAAATCAATATGACAATGGTAAAGAAAATTATGAAAAATGAAACTTTTTCTTAACATTTTGCATTTTGATTTTTTTTCAAATTTCTATTAAATTTTCAGTATAGGAAGAAAACCTCAAGAAAATGAAAAACTTTTATTTTCAATTTCATCATGACGAATTATTTTTTTTTTTTGTTATCGTTTTTAAGTACATCAGTGTGGAAAATCTTTTTAGAAATATTTTTCAAGGTTTTATACAATATTCATTTATTTTATACGACAGCTAAAAATCTATAAACTAAGAGCGTAACGTTTTATAGAACTAAAATCAAAAATTATAATCACTTTCATCTCTTTTAAAAATTTTAAATTCATTTGATTACAACACGGAAATTTTTAATTATATTTCATTTATTTTGGGTGTATGAATGATTTGAGCTTCTTTTCTGAAAGAAGCCAAAATTTCACTTAATTTATGTATGTTTTGTAAAAATATTAATGAAATATTTTAAGTATTCTATACGAAATGTAAAATATTGAAGTTAATTAGCCGTTGCCTCAATAAGTGTTTGGAAAAACGTAATTGAATTCCTTAGCACAACAACTAATCCGGTACTATATTTTAATAATTTTTATATACGAATATTCAGTAATGAGTGCTTTATAATAACAGGGCATTTTTATTTAGGACAGGGGTCGGCAATTCCGGACTTTAACAATTCATTGCGCGGTCCGCTAGAGAATATTAAATAATTTCAGGAAACATTAACAAAGTCAGAACGTGAGCGTGACAAAATTTGAACGGCGAGAATAATGCGTACCTACAGAAGCTCCATAGCGCATCTACCTTACTGCGAGAATTTAATCTCCATACTAACGACTAGAAAGTGTATAATGTTTATTCATTTCGCTAGTTTGATTTTGGAAAAATTAACGCTTTCAAGTTTACAACCGTATGGTGCTTCACTGCAAGAGAAATATGTACATGCTTTTTTAATTTATTGAAAAAATAACTCTTATTTTGTAGTAAGAAAAATGAAAAAAAAAACCGAAGAAAAAAAAATAATGAGGAAAACCGCGAATTTAATGAAAAATGGGCTTCAGATTATTTATTTATTAGAGATAACAGAAATGCTTTATGCTTAATTTACAAAATGGTCAAAGCTTATAAGTGAATATGATAAATATGAGTGTCACTTTTGAGACTCATATTTATGATATGAGTTTGAATGTGCGGCCCGCATTTTTTAGTTCTACGATTATTCTGCTAATTTTCTAAAGCGTTGCAAAATGTTTAAACGGTTAGGCTTCGAATATAATTTATGCTTTGAAACTGAATGAATAACAGGCTCTTTTACGACAAAACATAACATAATAAAAACATAGCTCTTTTACAACAAAACATAATATTGAAGTGTATCACTCTTAAATCTGTAAAATAGCTTCTACTAGGACATGTATCATAAGAAAGCCTTTACTGTTACACCAGCATTAAGAATTTCGTTGAGTATGAATTTTTTTGATCACCTCTCCCTTAAATGTACAAGTTCTTTTTTGGGAAAATTTGAATGAAATTTCAGGTTAAAAGCTCTACAAAACTGTGCTTAAAATTTGATTTGGTACACCTGTGTAGGGTTAATAATAAATTTTTCTTTTAAAAATTTTATAATTCAAACAGAAATTTTCGATATTTATTTCATTGTTCCTTATAATTCATTCCGTTTTTTAATTGAACAATAATTAAAACTTTATTAATGTTTTTGTAAGGATGTAAGGATGTATACGAAACCAAACCAAACTAGAGTTTGTCGTGTGCTGTTTTACAAACGATAATGCATACAATAGTGAAGTAAAAAATAATGTTAATTTCATTCCTAAAATAATTGTTGACAAATTATTGAGTAAAATAATATTATTTGTGAATAATTTCGAAATGAACTAAGTAATATGATAAAAGAAAATTCTAGTTTTTTAATATTTCATATTATATTTTTGCAATTATTAAACGATAAGTAGTTTCTTTTCAAAAAAACACTCTTTCAGCAATACAGTGGAGATAATTTTGAAAGTAGAAAGATTTAATTTAACGATTTCATTCATCTCATTATAATTTTTATAAAGGCATATATGAATAAAGAAAAATATTTTAATAAATTATTTGTAATTAAAATTAAAAGTTATTTGAAGCAATTTTTGATTTCAAAAAGAGTCATTTATGGTAAAAATCATAGTAAATGAGTTTTACAAATTATTAGCAAAATTTACAATTTATTTACATTAATTTGTATAATCTTTGAAATATAGAAAATGTAGCAATGATTTGTAAAAGTATTAAATTGAAAAAAATATTGCTGTAATTAATCATTTAAATAGAATGAATTGAGTAGCTTATAGTCGTAATGGATTTTTATTGGTATATAAATTATTTGTGTTGTTGTAATAGTAAAATAAATCGCTAAAACATTTTAACTTTCTAGTAAAATTTAGTTAACCAAGGTCTGTTTTTTCAATTGCAAAAGTATAATAATCATAAAAAACATCTTTCAGTTATAAGAAGCCCTTTTATTCATTGGTATTAGGAGTTAAAATTTTGAAGGGGAAATCTCTACCGAAATATAATATACGAACAAATTTCTGAGGTAAATATGTTGAAAGAATATTTTAAATCTATGCAAATTTTTCAGTTCAAAATAAAATGAAAAAAATAAATAAGTGTAATTATGTTGTTTGAATTCCGTACCTATTTCCTTCACCTTCTTCAAAACTAGACCTTTTAAAAATTCTGAAAATATTTTTAGTACTCACTGTATAAATAAACCATATCTAATTTTTAAACTGAATGAACGCAAAAAGTTAATTTATTATTGCCTGAATATCGAAGTCGAATGACTGGATATCGAAATAAACCTTTGCTTTAAAATTGTGATAACAAAATTTTTCTCTAGTTTTCAAGATTATTTGTCACATATGCACAAGAATTTATATTAATAAATTTTCTTTCTATTTTCTAGGTCTCCGAGAATTACTACTCCGTAAATTTTTTGGAATGTCAACTTTCAGGCAGCTACGTCTTGAACAAGTTTAATTGAGCATTTACAAATTCAGGTATGAAACGCAGTAAAACAAAATACTACTCGACGACATCTTGTGTTAAAATTTTTGCCCTTACATATTTATGTATATACGCATTTTTTTTTCGAAAATCATCTAAAATTTCTTCACAAATCTTCTTAAAACCTTAAATAGCAATTTTCATAATACAAAGTTATTGTCATAAAAATTATTTTTGTATTATTTTATTCAGGATATCTTTTATATCCTGAAACCATTTTTATTACATACGAGTACAAAATATTTTATCGCCTCTATAACAAAATATGTGTATAATAATGCCATGGTTTTTATTCAATAAGAATTTTATTGAAATGATTTTTATTATGGACAAAGAATATTCGATTCAAATGATTTCGGTATTGTATGTCCCATAAAAAGGATCATCCAATATACACACAGTTTGTTTCATTTATTCTGCAAAAGTAGAACTCTTTTTATTCATAACTATTAAATAATTGTAAAAAGAAAATATTCCCATTTCATAAAAACTATTTTCTTTTACATTTTACATTTATTGGATTTCAATTGTTTAACTTGCTATAGCCATTGAGTAAGTTTAATTGGTATATGCAATGTGGAGATAAACATTGTCATAATAGTAAATTATTTGTAAATGTTGCATATGTTTAGGATATTTTACAAGAAAGCATAAATACTACTGGACTACACATATGTCTTATATAATATTGCCATTATGCAAAGTTTTTCAGCAATATGATTTTTAATAGCTAAGGTTAGAAAAGTAATACTATTTCATTAACCAGATTAGGCATGGTTCGAAGTATTTTTGTTATTGTGTCCGGAATGAAAGCAGAAAATGCGTTGAAATATTAGTACGTTGTTATTAGTATCAATATTGTGAACAATTGATTAATTTTAGAAATTATTTATAGTTATTGTTGAAATAAGTAGAACTAAAAATGTTAAACAATTTTTTTTGTAAAAGTTTTACTTGGACAAATTTTAAAAAATCAATTTATATTTTATATTAAATCGAATCTATAAATATTTTTAATTAAATGCGATTGTAAATAACATAATAAAAAATTAAAATTATAATTAAATATTATAATATAGCTAAGTGACTCTAAATTATAATAAATTTACAAAGCCTTCCAAACAAATTTATTTTGATTATTTGATTTTTTTAAATTTACAGTCTCAGTATTACTCACTCCTTTATAATGCTGTGTTTGTTGCTGTTGTTGTTGTTGCCTTTCAAACATTTTAAATTGACGATCTTGTAATAAAACATTTTTTTCATAATCATAGAATCGATCTGGTGTAGGTGTTGTAACTGAAGATTTAAATTTTTCCACTTCATCTTGAAATTCTCTTGGTTGATCAAATTTTACACGTCTATCATTACGAACATATCCTTCATAATCATTTGTATCAGCCGAATATGCGCTTAAACCACTACTAAATCCGTGTGGTTTTAAATGATGATGAAGTCCAGCAGGTGGACCAGCAAAACCATAACCATTTATTCCACTAAAACCTCCAAAACCATGATCAACAGTTGTTGACCCAAGTGCACCTAAACCTAATGCACCACCAATACCAAAAATACTAGATAGAAATAAAGCTAATTTAGCTAAAATTGCTGCTTTCTGACACAAAAATATGATGCCAGCAAATAATAATGGAACAATTGCCACTAAATTGAATTTTAAACCAAGAAGAAATGGTAATAAAAGTTTCTTTGTGAGAATTCGAGCTAAAAATTAAAGGAAAAAAAATTTTTTTAGGTATAATAAATTAAGCCATCTCTTGTAATGTACATATGTATACATAAAATGTAATGTTGTTAAATACATACATTTATATAGATATAAAATATTATGTAAAGAAAATAATAACCTGTTGATGGTTCTTCCGCTAAATAATTACGTTCATTGCTTTCAACTTGTGGATCTAATGCAAATTCCAAAACACTTGTGGTATCTGCAGAAGGTCCGATTCGTAGTTGAAGACCAGGATAAATTCCATTCAAATCCCATTGTAAAGCTCTATTACTGATTATTACACCAGCATTTTCTAATATTCCCCTATAGTAAATAAAAAAAAAATAATTTAATTAAAAATTGCATATATTTAGGCAAAATGGCGAAAATTTTAACTGGTATAAAATTAAGCTGTCTACGTATATGCTTTGAATTCATAACTTTAATATGGAAATTTTAAACATAGAATCGTTGCGTAATTTGAAGAGTTATTCAAAATAATGTATGGAATTATATATTATGGTTTTATGTCAACAATTTCGTGTCTGTGAGTCTAATGTACAAATAATATAATGTTAATGTCATTCTATGATGAACTGCTTATGAATATTTCAGTCTTTCAAGAAATGCTAGTGATTTAAAACAAAAAGCAGTTGTAAAGATTGATGGGATCTCTAAAACAAGCTATAAATTGAGAAATGCTCTTAAGAAATAACAATATTGAAGTTATTTCATTTAAATTATCTAAATTTTTGCATAAGTGCGTTTAGGTTTACCCTCAGATTATAGATTTTGAGGTGTATAATGAGATATTCATAAAAAAGAATTTATTTGTTAATTTTTTACGCTGTAATAATGCATCCATCCATTAGATTTTTTGCCTGTTTGCGGCCTTCTTTTATAAACGTATAGTTACCACAATTGCAAATTTTAACAAATTAAATTTATAATATAATTGAAATTTTTAAGCACAAATTAAGAAAATAGCATTTTGAATTGTGCTGCAAAAGATTAAAAATAAACAGTTTTAAATGCAAATTAAATGGACAGTAGAGTCACTATTCCAATAAAGCTGGAAATTATATGCAGTCAACTATGAGGCTTAAATTTCCTTCAAATATTCATTTGAATTTTCAGCAATGCTTTTCAGAGTTTTAGAAAAACACATAACGAGGGTCAATACAACTTCGATTAACTATTTTTAAAAATGTCAATTGCATTATATTTTTTTTCTTTCCAGAAAGTTTAAATAACTTGAGAAAATGTCCGGAAAATTTTATTGGAAAAATTGCCTTATTTTATAATGCGTTTGTAAAACCCTTGTCTACTTGAGTAATTTTAGCAAACATGTTCCTATAGGTATACTTAATTGTTTCTATGATTTAAATCGCTAAAGACTAGACAAACTCGTATAAAGAACAAGTCTAAATTAAATAGGGTTTTTGTGCTTCTTATATTTAAACTTATTTAAAGTTCCAGACTGAGCAAGAATGTATATATATATCTGCATCTAAGATCTCTATGTTTGGACCTTTGTTATGTGTATTGAAGCTTTATTATGTAGACTTTATTATGTATATTTGCATAAAGATTAATGTGTTTAATGCGAACAATAAATTCTTAAGAAAATTAATAAAATGTGTATGTAAGTGAGCGCTGTAATAAGTTATTTTTCAACTTAAAATATTTACTCCTGCACGATAAATTTAGAGCTAAAAGAAATTTTGAATATCTTTCAACTTTTACCTAAAATCAACAGGATCTTGATCTAAGACATTTGCAACAGATCTTTCTGCTTTTTCATCCTTAACAATTTTTAATCCTTTAATTAAAGTAAAATTTTCAGCATCTTCTATATTTTGTAAGAAATTTAACATTTGATGTCCAACACATTCTTTAATATTTGATGATGATTTTCCAGGATTAGCATCTCTTATACAATAACCGAATTCATTTGCTTCAATAAGTAATATATTATAATATGAAAAACACAAACACAATGAAAAAAATATTTTCAAAAAAAATCCAAAATATTGCATTGTTTTTTCACATTTGTTATGATCACAAATGGCATTTAATTTTAATTAACTATATTCACTTTTTATTAAAATTATTCATTTAAAATCCTTTATATTTTTAAATTTCTATGCTTTTTTACAATTCATTCTAAATTTTCCAAGAAGGACTGGTTTTAAATTTAAAATTTTCCTATTTATTTTTGTTTTTAAATTTTCACGTTTATTCAACAACCTAAGTTCTATGATGACTGAAAGGAATCCGTGGTCAAGACGATTATTTTATATTTAAATTAAAATAACCTTTATTTATTGTTTGTTTTTCTTTACCACCCACCCAACCACCATACTTAAAATTTATGTTTTTTTTATTATACGTAACTAAAATTTGGATTCAATTCAATGAACATTTTTCTATCTCATCTTCAAAAATGAAATAAATTTCCTGAAAATCTCCGACTACAAATAATAATAATTAAAAAAAATACGATTTTAAATTAAATTTGGCCTTTGTTTAAACATTTTATATACTTTGACATATTGTGAGTTAATCGCTTTGTTGCTCTTCTTTTTTTTTTGCAAACTTTTTGTTTCTTTTCAATTTCGTATTGAGTGTCGGTTAACCTGCAACATATGTAGCTATATATTGATTATTATATCAGTGTAGTGAAAGTATGACTATCCTAAAAATATATATAATATATAAATAAGGCAATAAGATTCCTGACCTGATCTTGGAAACCTAACAATTAACGCGTGCAGACAATGTAAAGAAAAGTTCTTCTTTTATAACAGTTCATTGTTATTAAATAATAATGAAAAGTAAAAAGTGATAAAGAAAAGTGAAATAAAATTTTGCTAAATATTTTGCACAAAATTTTATTGTGCGTGATGTGAAAATCTTTTTGTTTCAATAATGTGAAAATAAAAATATCAACATTGAGTGAGTCAATAAAATTTTGCACATTCAAACATTTTTTATTATTTTATTGTTTTTGGTCTAACAATAAATTTTTCAGGTAACTGTTACGATAAATGTACGAATTTTTAAAGAAATTTTAATAGCATAATAGTGTTTAAAGATTATGTGGTTAAGATATTAATTCTTGAGAGTCTATAATGTATTTAGATGATTGAAGGATGGTAGGTGACAAAATTTGGACAGTCGAATTGCAGTTATGCTTTATAACCATTCTAATACTTGTAAATTCGAACCTACAAGCTGGAATATTTTGCAACAAACTGAGACTGCAATTTGTATATTAGAGTATTTTAAAATAGCCATATTGCAAAATTATTTGGTTATCTGGTCAATTAAGACTGCTTGTGTGAAACATGTGTATTTGTAAAAAAAATCAAGTTATATGTGATAAAATGAAAAGGCATAATAAATTTTGGGTAATATTAAATATTTTTATAAATTGTCTAAACTGGTTTGTTTCTGAAGTTTTATATTTCTGATATAAGCTGTATTAAGATTAGAGTTATTATGAATTATGCACTCTTATATATTAGCGTTGCAATTTATATTTTTTTTTTTTTTTCCCTTTGTTCACTCCTAGAAGGAGCATAGGGCTAGTGCATGATTTCTCATGCACTAGTTACATAGCGTCATAGGGTTTAACTAGGTAGGTGACTAGCCTGCCGTAGTTTTTATTTATATATTAATTATTTGAGGTTATTGATATTTACTGTTTATTTTTCTTAGTTTTTTAATATCGAATATTAGGAATATTTGAAAATTACTTGTATAATATTTTTATTAGTATTGTATATTAAGTTTTAATAATATTGAAAATACTTTTTATAGTGACCTGACCGGGGTTTGAACCCGAGACCCTTCGGCTAAAGGACCGGTGCCATAACCACTGCACCAATGGTCAGATAGTAATTTATATAGACTATGGCAAATGATCAACATTGAAACTGTACGCGAACTTAAAATATTCAATTAAATTCTCATATTAAGTTTTAGCAACATTTGCTTCGAATTTCTATTAATAAATTCCTATCAAATTTTTATTTGTGAAAATAAAAACACCACATTTGTTCCTACTCTTAATATGCCAATTCCATAATTAAAACATTTTCTAACGCAATTCAATATAGAAATTTCGATCATTTTTCTTAACTATTAACATTGAATTCATTATTTTTCTTTATGAGACAAAAGTTTTTTGTTTTAAAAAGAAAACAGTTTGAATTGAAAATTTATTATGCCCAAAATTTTGGTTAACCACACACCAAGACGAAAAACAAGAATAAAACAAGAAAAAAACACAAAAACAAAAATCAAATGAAAACCCCAACAAATCTTAAAGAAACTTTTTTGTTAAGGTTTTTCTTATGTCTTAATCGCAAAACCCAATAAAACACTTTGTTTTGTTGTAACCGACAAAGAAAATTAATTTTTTTTTCTTTTTTGGCGGGGTATAACGAAGTATTTTTCTCTTCGTTGATGATGTTATTAAATAATGATATATGTAGGTCGTAGTAATCGTAGGATTACTTTATCTTTTATTTTTGATATCTACACGAGAACTGTTTATCTACATAAAACGGTATAAAATTTTTCGAATTTCGTTTATAACACTATGTGTTTATGTTACAAGAAAATAATTTTAAAATCAAATTTAATTTTTGGATGATTCTCAAGATATTATGTAGAAACTTGGCAAGAGTAATAATTATTATAGGATCTGAAATAAAATTTCCGGCGATATCTTTACTATTTCGTTTCGCGAGCACATGAGCTCAAATATAAATTTTTAAGAAAATTAAGTAGAAATTAAGTAGAAATTTTCAATCATTAAAAATAATGATTGAAAATTTCTACTTTACACTGTCTACGATTCATGGAAGCAGTTTTTCTTGAAGTCAATTTGCACTACAGGCTTTCATTACTATCGTCATTTCGTGCAGAAAAATTGAATTAAATTCAATAAGGAATAGCGCTGGATTAATCATATATGCAAAGTAAGCATTCACAATGAGTGCCGGAAAACTAGGACGCTCATTAACAAGAGGTAACATTGAAAATTTAAAAAAAAAAAATAAATTTTAAAAAGAACACTTTTTTGCAATTTTTCGCTTTACTGGTTGTCCAATTATTTTTTTCTTTTTATTTTAAATAAAATTAACTTGAAAACATGAACCTATACACAAACATGCGAAAACTTCGTGTAGTGTCGAACAAGTTAGAACCGAGCCTGACAAAAAATTAACTAAATTAATACCTATACTCAATTCAACTAACGCGGAATCGAAGAAAAACTTATGAAATATTCTGAAGAATTTTTCAAAAATACGATCAAAAATCTGGTGATAATCAAAATTTAAACGCTTTTCCAATAACATTATTATTGTTTTGCTGTGAACAAAATTTAAAAATAATTTTTTCATAAAACCTACAGATGTAATGTTAACGCTTTCTGCTTGGCTATTTTTATATCATTATTATACAAGTACATTAGTATAACTAACCCAATTATAAAATATAAGTACGTATACATAAAATATTATTATTCAAATAAATTTAAATTTTTTTTTTCAATTATTTATTTATTATATAAATATCACTATATCAGTTTCCATCCAATGCTTTTATAACACAAAAATTAAAGAGGCAAGTTGAAAAAATCCATCCGTTTCACATATATTTTTAATTAAAGAAAATCTTCATTATACCTTATAATAACTTAATACTTATAATTGTTACCTAACATTTTAATTCTGATTACATTTTTTTGGTTTTCATAAAAATTTTGCAATTTGGTCTGTGCGTAGTACATTCAATGTTGATTAATTAAACAAACAAAATCTGATAATCAAATTTTATTACATCAGATCAAATATTTGTTATGAATTATAATGGCCTAGACCTGGATTTATAAAATATTTTACTTGATTCCTATATTGTATATATAAAATCAGAGATTTTATAATAGACTAATTAAGTATGCAATTAGTACTAAAATTGTATTGTTAGCTTAGAAAATTCTTATAGGGTATTTGTATCTTACCATAGTATCATACCCTTGATATAAAAATGAAAATATTACAAACCTATTGATATACTATAGAAATTAAAAAATACTTTTATTTAGATTACTAGTGCAGTGAACTCATCTCATAACCGATTTGCCTGATGGCAGATCTGAGATTCTTTTGTTAGAATTTACTTCTATTTCGAAATATTGGTGTTCAGTTGAAAAACAAAAATTAAATTATATAGAAAAATTTATAACAGTGCTGCAAAAGTGCGAAAAACCAGATAGTGACATCTCATGTCATTCAGTAAGCAACAAGAAAAAATAAAATTTTTCGATAACCACCGTTTTTCATCAAAACGTAAAATGTATAACAAAATATTTTTAACACATACTTATTTTTTTATACAATCATAATTCATGACCCTCGTAACTTTTTTACATTGTACAAATTTTCATTGTTCATTCAGCTGACACTTTTAAAATTTTTATCAAATAAAAAGTTTTTCATAAAATTTAAGATTTTCCTTTAATTAACGAATTTCATAAAAATTCTTAAAATAAAATTTAATATTGCGATATTCTTTTCAACAACGGTAAAGTATATTGTACTTGAGTACACTATCGTAGACAAAAAACACCTCAAAAAACTAAAAATAATTTGAGAAGAAAATCAATAATGTGAACTCCGATACTAAAATTTGATATTACAAGAATTTATATAAAAATAAAAAATTAAGTTGGGCCGAACTGATGGTTTGTAAACAGCACATTTTTTCTTTGAACAAGTGAAAATACTGCTTTTTAAAACAATCTTCGACATTATTTCAATATTACTTTCACTAATATACCAAAATATTAGAAAAAAAATTGCATATATTTAGGATAGGAAAAAAAATTTTAAAGGCTAAAATAACTAATTATATTTTTTGATGGCATGGTATTTCCGGTTAAAATTCTGTATTTATAGCAATTTCAATTTCAGAAATATAAGATGCCGAAAATACGAATATTACAAATTTTGAGAGTTGATAACTTGAGAAGAAGTAGAGGTGGATAAAAATTTTTTTAACAGTTTAGATAGCTGCTAAAATTTCAGGCTTTTACATGCTTCCTTCTAGAAGAAAAATGATTTAAAAAAAACGAATGGTTTAGAAAAAGCCTTCCACTACTCTGCCTTTGCAGAATTCAAATAATTTTTGTAGTTCCGTTACAATAAATAGTGAAATAGTGATTTCATACAAAATTCCAATGCCGTACTACCTCAATTGCTATTAAGACTATAATTTTTCTAGATGTTTATATTTTCAATTTAGCATGTTTTTTAAATTACATTCTATTATCACATGCTCCGTGATTTATTTCAAACAATTTCAATTATTTCTTTAAACACAAATTCACGCGAAAACTCGCCTGAACTCAATTTTTCACGTATGCAGGTCTTTGATTTGAATTCGCTTTTGTATAAAAGAAGTATACATAATCAAATTCATATTTTTACAACATCCAACAGGTATTGCTTTATTATAATAGGGCTAAAAAAATATTTTTTTTCACAATAATTGGAGAAGACTGTGAAAATAAAATTGCATTTTTAGCATGTTAGATTAGGTTACACAACTTTTGAAGAAGTTATAATTTATGAATTAATGAAGCTTTTAAGATTTTTTAGATGCGAGTACCTATTATTTATTGTAGCTACACGTTCTTGATATTAGGATTTCTGGAAAATTTTCTCAATTTATTTCTGAACTAACTACGACCCCTAGTTTTGTTTTCGATAAATTCCGTTTAGCATTTAAGCAATGTTCGCTCTCTCATTTTACCTCGTAATAATGAGCTGTAACAGCACCAGCGACAAAATATGAATGACAATTTTTTGAGAAAATTTTTCTACAGAATCTCTTGTATACCTGAAAATATTATTAATAAACACAAAGAAAAGGAAAAAATTTTGTTTTTTCTTTTTTTAATTTAATAATGATTTTCTATTTTATTTATATATTTTTCTTAAAATTAAAGTAAAAAAAATTGTTTTCAAAAATTATTTAACTTTTATTTTGTTAATTTTTTTTTGTCGTTTTCTTTTGTTTAATTCTAAAAAGAACACATAAAATTATTTTTATTTCTGATGAAAAATTATTAATGAAAATTTTTTCAGTTTAAAATGAAAAATTAATATTAAAAATTCAATTAAGAAGAAATGACAATAGTGTGTACGTATGTATGTATGAATTTATTAAAATGTATGTGTGTATATATATTTGTATGTACATTAAGAAAGAAATGTTTGTACTGAATTATTTTAAATACTTATTTAAAAAAAGTAGAAAAGGAAGAAATATTTAACAATAAAGATTAAACTTAATTAAAATAAATTTTAGAATACGCACCCCTATGGTACCTTAACAGATAACAAAAGAGAAATAGGGCAAAAATTAATGTTATAATGTGTAATAATAATTGTTTCGATTAATTATAAAATTGTGACTTTAGGATTATTGACAAATTGTTAAATACAAAATATTTATTGAAGAAGTCGCCTAAGTGTTACGATCGTTTTAAAAAAAAATATTGTAATTTAATAAGAAATCTCACTACTCTTACATGGTCAAATAAAAATGCTTGGGTACTTCTTCGCCAAATCAATCCAAAACAATCTTAACACATTATTAAAACGGAAATTGAATTGAAGAAATGAAATATTAATGATTTCAAAAGAATAAATTAAATTAGAAACAGGAGAGAAATAGAAAGAGACCTGAAAACAACGTACTCAGATCTCAACTGTTAAGTATAAGTGTGACTTTAAAAAATTGTTAATGCTATCAAATTAAAATATGTAATTAAAATTGTATTCAACTGTAAAGCCTCAAAGTAATAAGAGGCTCGTTTCTAAATTCTAGTAAAACAGAAATTAAAAATATAAAAATTTAATAAAATAATTTTTTGCTTTTTTCATTTTGTTTTTTTTTTTTTTTTTGAGAAATATTAGTATACAAAGTGTTAGTATTTTTTTTGTTAATTAACGTTCCTAGAATCCTAAATAACTAAAATTAAGTAAAAAAAATTTCTTTAATTCAAAATAAATTTCTAAATTCATTTTCCCTTTTCTTAAACTTTTCATGCTTTTTTAAATTAGAATTAGAAGAATAAATTATTTTATATAAATAAATAAATTAAATAAATATTTTTTAAATTAAATATTTTACAGTCCTAATTATTGCCTTCATGGTTATATTTCATTTTTTTTTTAATTCTGTTGTTCATTTTATTTCTTTTTTGTTTTTCCTTTTTATTTTTTGGTATATGCTGAATATGCTAAATTTTGTGCATCCATTGATCTGCCATACGAATGTTCATCATATGAAGAACCATGTGAATAATGTGGATGAGCTACAACTTCATAACTTTGTGCTGAATGTTTTGAATCCAAGAGTTTCTTCAAACCAATGATACCAGATAATAATAATGCAATTTTACCAATCACTAAAGCTTTGAATGCAATCATAGCTAAGAAACCAATTGCTAATGGTAATAAAGCTGCAGCTTTCAACTTAAATAATAGTAAAAGTGGTAAAAGATATTTTTTACCCTTCTTTTTTTCACGTGCTATGTATTTTTTTTTTAATATGAAAAAATAAGAAAAAAATAAAAAGTATTAATTATTTTCTTTTCTTTTTAAATTAAGTATGGGATGGTGGATAATTTCGATTGTAATAGGCGGTATTCAAAAGTTATCTTCCTTTACTGACAGATCGTTACAGGCAGCTATTTTAAACTATATTAACATGCATTAGATAAGAAGATTTTTAGCAAATTCCAGTTATATAAAAGAATTTCTTGCTCGTATAGCTTTAGGTGTACATAAAAACAATTTTTGATATATTATCTAAAAAAAGAAGGCTTCTACTGAAAAATACTTTAAAGAGATTCTGAAACCCAATATCTAGAAAAATTTAATGAAAAGCAATGAAAAAGTACACATATCCTACCAAATTCCGCTATATAAAAATTTTAACAAAATGAAAATACAAGCAATTCGGAAATATTAGACAAAAACAAAATATTTAAAACAGAATAGGTAGCCAATTGCCGTAACTTCTCTTTTGATTTTTCACATTTGATTAATTTTCTAAGAATGAACCTAAAAAAATAATTCTTTCTCTAAAAATGAAACACATTAAGAAGTTTCTAATTAAATCAGGGCCTATGTCGAGTGCATTTTTACCGACCGCAATTGTATACAATAAGTAAGGTTATGTGATGGCAACAAATTTTGAATATCGAGTTTTCGGTGGGAACGCACTTCTCCATAGTAAGGAAGTGTAAATAAATTGCTTTCAGAGAGGTGTCAGTCTGTCGGTTTTTCGGTTTGTCGGTCTGCCTGTCTGCCTGTCTGTGTGTGCACGCGTGAATCTCAAGTTCGGCTGAGCCGATTTTTGATGAAATTTTTATATGTAAGTTATTATGAATATACATTTTGGCGTATATTACGAAAAATAATTAACCGATTGTATTGAAATTTAATAATTAAATCCTAGGTGTTAAAAAAATGAATCTATAAATTGTTTTTGCAAGATCAGGGGTCGGAAACTGATATGGGGGAATATGACAAACTTTTCGTATAATTCGGACGACACAAAATGAAGCTTTACTAAGAACCAAATTCACATTTTTCTAGGTATGTTAACTAAAATTTTATTACTGTCCTTATAATTTTCAAGAAGTTTTTAAGACGTATGTGCTGACCACATCAGATTTTTAGAGAGATACTTGATATTTATTTTATTTTAGGTTTTAGGACGGAAAATTGAAATCTAGAGTTTAAAGTCAAATAATTTCTTCATAAAATATTTATTTTATCTCTCATTTAATTTTTTTTGAATTTAGTTATGAGTCCGCATAAAGGCTTCGCAAATTTGTATTTAATCCGTTTTTCCAATATTTCAAAAAAATTTAATTAAAAAACGAGTGATGGTCAATTGAAAAATAAAAAATAATTTTTTTTCCTTTTCTATTTTACAAGACTACAATTTGAATGACCCAATTTTTTAAATTTTCTTTTTTCTTGTTTAATTTTCATACTGATCTTATGTTTGCCTTAATTTTATATTCAACTCAGTGTGTTCAATTTATATGTATATTTATGATATGAATTTGATAGTGTAAGGTGAATAGAAAAAAAAATCCAGTATTGATATCACCTACTTCCTTTAAACTGATTATACGAGTGAAAAATAATAAAATAAGTAAAAATAGAGAGAAGAAAAAAATAACAATGTTTTTGTTTTTTTTTTTTGAGAAAGTCTAAGTGTACAACTTAATCAACATACCACTATGCGTGTTACCACACTGAATTTCAATTGAACAAAATAAAAAGAAATTTATAAATTTTATAGCGTAAATATCGTAAAGAATAGCTATGTATGTACCCATAAGTGCCATGTGTGAAAACCAGATTTTTTTTTTTAAATCATCTACTTAATATTGACCGCATAAATTGGCAAATAACTGCTATGAACTTTTTTTTTTTCTTTTCCAATATTTTATAGCTAGCCAGTTGTGTTTTTCAATTCATTTTGAATATTGTACGCATTTTTATTTTATTTATTTATTATAAAACATCAATTAGCATGCAAATTGTATTGTTGGAACACAAACGCTTCATTTTTATAATAATAACTTTTGTTATAATAAATAGTTTAATTAAATGGTAGTTTGCACATATCATCATACTTGTAGTTTGTAATTTTATCATTGACTTTTCGCTTAACATCAAAGGTTATTGTTATTCAAATTGAACTCTAAATCAATTAAGTAAAAGTGACGGCAATTAAATATTGATAGTGGTGAAAAAAGTGGAAGTGTCAGAGATTTTATAATTGAAGAGAAATCGATTCATTGTAAATTTTTGATTTGATTTTATTAAATTTTTGTTTAATTTATGGTTTTTATTTGTAAATATCCGCCGGAATATACGTACTTATACTGTAGGATCAAATTGTAGTATAAATTCTTTCATCAATAGAGAACGGAACATGTGAACAATCATAGGGAAAACTTAATCAATTTTGAATGTATAAATGTAATTTATTCATTATTATGGCGTAGTGTCTAAAAGAAATACTATATCACTATCTACATACTATGTACGATTACATACTGTGTATCAAATATTCATCAACAATTCTCTACATATTGTGTGAACGTAATTAAAATCAGAAAAAATCTAATATTTTGACTAAGAGTGTTAACTAATAATTTTTCCATAGTTAAAAAATAAAAATGCCATATGCATTATGAAAATAGTAATTTGGCAACAATATTGTACGTAGAGTTGCATGAAAGATGTACTTACATGTCTGACTATTTGGCTGTTATTATAAGATTAGCGCTAATACCATACCATGCAATTAAAGTTACTCTCATATTTGTAATAGAGTATGGGAAAAAGTTTGCGCATTTGTCTGATTATTTTTGAAATGGTCGAGTGTCGTCAACTTATTCTTAGTACAACCATGTACAATTACATAATCAATATGATTAAAAGTTACCATTCATACCACTAGAAAAATAAATTGATATTGTAAAAATAAAGCAGGAATAATTGAAAATTTCTAATTTTAAGAATGAAGGATTCCAGTTTCCCACTTTGTAATTGATAAAAGAATAGCGGAAGTGTTCAACATCTCAACCTTAACTTATTGTTAGTACAAAAATTATTTTTATACTTTAAAATCTTTTCTATTTGCACTTTTGGAATTTTCCAGTGAAATTCTTTTTTTTTTCAATATGCACTTATTATAGTAGCTTTTCATAGAGAACAAAATATTTCTAATTTTTAAAGAACACGTTTGAAATTTTTCTAGTAGTGGAAATTTCAAGTTTTTATTTTATTTTCTTTTTTTTTTACTTTAATTATTTTATGAACATTTAAAGATATAAAAATCGTCTTCTACTTATTATTGATGAAAATATTCAAGTTTTTACCAGTTTTGCTTTTTTATTATTTTTTTGTTATTCTTGGTTTATTTATTTAGAGAGATTTTGTTTCTGTAGAGAATAGAAAAAAGACATTTTCTCGCATTTTAACCTTAAAACCTAGTTTTTAGTGGAAAAACAAGGAATATTCGAGGTGATTGAAAATAGTTTTTCACGGAAATTATAAGAAGTGAATGAATTTATTTTAATTTTTCTTATATATATTCATACTTAGAAAGTATTTTTATTAAATTTCACATTCACATAAGAAATATCCATTTCCTGTATTAAATAGTACATCTTTTCAGGATTAGCGTTGAGATAACATTATAATGTTTGAGTTAAGCGGAATTTAAATACTACACTTGGCGAAAAGTAACTTTTATCGTACAAAAAATTTTTAATATAGAAAAATTATGAAAAAATATTTTTCTGAAATATTGTGCATTTTCCCATTTTAATGCACAATTTAGTAAACAGCATCTAAATGGAAAAAAAATGTTCATGCAGATTTCACCCATAATTTTGAAAATAATTTTCTCCAATCTTTCAAAATTTTTTGTTTAATTTTTCTACTGAGGCAATAAAATTAGAGGGAGAATAATAATTTCAAGTAATCACAAGATGTGAACTACCCTTAAATATCGCTTGAAATTAATTCTTTTATACATTTGAAAACAAAATCATGTTCTTAGCTTCAAAATACGATATAGGGTAAACTACGATACAACTTATCAGGTATAATTGCTAAATGGTGTAGCAGTTTTTGCCATTAGTTTACTTCTTATTGGCACAACTGTTCAATTTGATTATACAATATCTACACATCTTTTAATATATTTTCCGAGATATTCTTTGCAATTTATAATAATGAATAAATGAAAATGGTTTCGAAAGGAGATGTAAAGGAATTGTAAATAATGGTTAATTAAATGGTATACTTACATCTACCTTCTTCTAATGATCTTTGCATATCTTCAATTGATTCCCTTGGAACTTTAAATTGTAATGTGTGCGTTCCGAAAAATCTTGCAATCCTTTCAACCAATAACGAATCAACTTCATTTTCTCTTGCTTCTGGTTCATCTGGTAAATTAATTTCATTTAATGATCTACCAACTGGTATATCATCAGTTTTAATTAATTGTATGCCATCACTTAATTTAACATCACCATTTTCTGAATCAAAATAATGTAATGCTCGTTCCTATATTAATAAAAAAATTTTATTAAAAATTAATATTATAATATTATAAAAGCGATAATTCAATAAGAATTTTAATTGAATGAATTCTTAAAACTAATATGAATTTTTATTTTAAGTTTTTCTGCTTGCAAAAATTAAATTAAGAGTTCCTGGAAAGAATCTATCTATTTGATTTATATGATCTATTTGAAATTATTTTTAATATTAAGTAGAAGCTCCAACTGAATACAATTGCAAATATGAAATTTTGACAGACAATGTTCATAAACGTAGTTTTTTCAATGGCCAAAATATTTTTAAAAGGACCCACAAAATGAATTTCAAGAAGATTTAATTAACTTAATTAAAAAAAAATTTCTGTTGAAGTTAAAAATAAATAAAGAATTTGTTTTTAACTAAAAAAGAAATTCTTTATTTATTTTTAAATAAAAACTATTTTAATTATTATTTTTCCTAAGAATAAAAGTGAATGCGAATAACTTATATAAAAATCTGTGTGATGGGATGAAAATTGAGAGAAGACCAAAATATTTAGTGGTGCCACAACGGATGTCTCAATCTAATATGTTAGTAAATTTTTTCCTTTTTCATTTAACCTTATAATTGACTTGTATTGCTTTGATAATATAAATCAGGTGAAAATTTGAAATTCGGAAAGGTTTTTATTTTTTGTATAATTTTTAAATTATTTTAATATTTTTTTGTCTGTAATTTGAATTTTTTGCCTCACGTCATGGTTATATTTTAAGGATTCTGCTCAATAATCGATATTCACTGAAAGTTCAAGTGAAAATTTAATTTTCTGTTTGTTTTTTGATTGTTTTTCTTATAATATTTACGGAGAAAGCTAAATATGCACCATATACAGGCACCATGTTCTTTAAAAACATTTTGTTATATTCTATTTATCCGAATTCCGTTGAAATTCAAGAATGGAAATTAAGTAGTTTGTGAATATAATTCGAAGAAATATATTTAAGTTCTTTTAATTTGGAAAATATCGTCCTTTCAAATGTTAAGTTTTTGGATCATAAAATCTTTTTGAATATTTTGAAAAAGCAAAATGTATAAAAAATCTACAATTCGATTTTGACTTAATTTTTAAAGTAACAGTTTTAATATTAAGTATCGTAACTTTTTAAGGAACGTACGTATACTCGTAAGTGGTTTAACCTATTCTCAAATTTAAGTTGTTTCGATTTTGATCTCAATAAATTTAACTGTAAACTTTATCTATTGTAATTTTAACTGTAAACATAAGTAAAGTATGTAACATAAGTAAGTATGTTCATATTTTTATATCCTTTTTAACGTGTATCCGTGTATCCTTTTAAAATTGTGTATAGTTTTTTTTAATGATTCCTCATATAATTTTGATTATTTCAAAATTAAAACACTTTTGTTTTCTTTTTCTTACCTTTAAACATAATACCAGAGGTTGTTTTGCACAGGTACTTATTAAACTAATAGCACTATTTAAAATACTATCTGTTGTTTCTTGTTGTTCACTCCCAACAATTACCGTTATCATAGTGGTAACGATATAAATATAAAATAGATTTTTAATCATTGTTTTTAAATTTTTTATATTTTTTTTTTATATTTTAAATTAAATTTATAAATTTTAAATTCTTGTTATAATTATGAATGTATAATTGTTTTTCACCACAAAAAAAAAAAAAAAGAGAAAATCCTTAAAAACTAGGATTTTTCTTTTTAATTTTTGATAGATTTTTTTTTTTTGTTTTTCTTTGTTTTTTTTTTTTTAATTTCAAATCACAGTTAATCCAAGTTACAATTTTATTTTATTGAAAATGTAATTTTTTTTCTGTTAACGTTATTACCGTTTGTTGTTGCCTTATTGAGATATCGAAGCGGACTCCTTTTGGTCTATGAAATGCTTACGGTTTTTATAACAGAATTTTAAATAACGTTTTTAATCATAGATAGATTTAAAATAGTTTGTTATTGGCTTTCGAACGACAAAACGTTTTTATAATTTTAATTTGTTATTATTTATAGTATTAAATTAAATGTGTAATATGTTTGTTTAATATGTTGACATGTAGATGTCTCTTGATTTTGTTTTTGTTTTTCTATTATAAGTTTGTTAGTGGTCAGAAGGCAACCGATGTACTGTGGCTAGAAGACATTAAAACATCGCATTTTATTCTCTCTTTATTGAATATATTACAGTTTGTTTATTTTATTTTTTTTTTGTCTTCTTCATTTTAATTTAACTAGCATAATAGTAATACATTTATGTAGTTTTAATGCTAGTATATGCATTACATACACTGATACTAACAATACGTACCCGTACAATTTAATGAATTTTTTATTTTAATTTTTTTTTTCTATTTTATTCTTTTATAAAATTGCCTACTAGTTAATTTATTATATTACGCTAAATGGTAATAATGATTCGGATCAACATTATTATAATCAACAATCACCATCATCATCAACATTATGTACATACATACATATTCGTGTGGCGTATAAAAGAAGAAAAGAAGAAGATCAACAGTTTCATTGAAGAAAGAAGAAAATTATTAAAACAAATTAATGAAATTCTTTTGATAACCATAGGATATTAAAATATTTGAAGTACTATAGCATTTTGCTTTTCAATAGAAATACTTTTAAAATGTTCTTATGGGGATTCTGAAGTTGAATTTGCATTGTGTTTAATAATTGAAATACAATAAAGTTGGACAATAAAAAGGCAATGGGAAAAAATTATTTTTAACTTTTAATAAGCTTCCAGAACAAAAACTTAAGTATTAAAATAAAATAATTTAAAAAGAACTTTTAAAAAGGATATTTCATTGAAATACTTCTCTTTTTCCCATATACAATTGAATACAGGTACATGCATACTGATTCTTTTCATATTTATTATGGCATTTACCCGCGCTTTGCATTCTTCAGTGCAAATTTATACGGAAACGTATAAACATACATAATATATTAAGAATCGAAATGATTATTGTCTAGTAAAAGTGTTACAGAAGATTATGAAAATGCGTTTTAAACACTTTTTTACATTTTGTAGGACACTAGTGAGCTTTTAGCTAACATTCCTCGAATAATGTATATTTGTCTCTTATAAGAGTTTCGCTCTGCGTCATTTGAATTCCTTGAAAAGTTCTGCAGTTAATTTCGATAACAACCAAAACTCAAATTAAACTTCAAGAAATTCCATCAATTAGTTCAGTAAATATGGTAAAAAATGTAAAATCGGTCCCTAGTCAGATTTAGCAACCGTAATCTTTCCAAAAAATTTTCCGGTTCATTTCTGTGACACCTGAAATTTAAATATTAAATTTCAAGGAAATTGGTCAATAATTTCTCTTAATACGTTTTACACTTTACACAATAAGGTCCGGTTCCCGAGTGGGCCGAACTTGACATACACACGTGAACATACAAACAGATAGGCCGATATCTCTCTATTATGAAGAAGCGCATTGCCTGAAATTGAAAACTCAACATCCGAAATTTGTTGCGATCACATAACATGCCTTATTGTATGCAATGCGTTGGTGAAAAATGGGGTTATATTTTTAGTTGTTAATGAAAAAATTTAAGAAATTATTTTACCTGCATAAATTTTAAATACTAATGAAATTAGTTAAGAGTAAGAGTATATTTTTTAATTAGAAAACTATTACTGTTATATTCTTCTAATTATAAAAGCTTAATGAAACCTAAGAATAGAAAATTATAATTTTTGAAAATTTGAGGGAAAAAATTTGAATAAATTGAGAGTGTTTCCGGTAGATATAAATTTTGTTCTCAATTGAAAATGCAAGATTAATTCAATTTTCCGCTTAAAGAAAACATTACAGGGTCCTAGAGATGTATTAGAATGTTTTCTCCAAATCAGTGTTTCCCAAAGGGGTCTATATACTCCCCGAGGGGTTCATGAAGACCTGCTAGGGGTCTACAAAAAAATATGAATTCAATTAAATAAGAATTAAGAGGGTTTATCAAAAATTCAAAAATACGACAAGGGGTCTACGAGGGAAAAAAGTTTGTGAACCTTTGCTCTAAACGATTAACTTTTTCGATACAATTTATTGGTCTACAAAATTTTGTGTTAGAATATTTTAGAGACTTTGTTAATTGAATTGGAAAATGAACCGACGGACGGAAGAATGAGTGAAGTTGTTTGAAAAAACAAATGTTTTACGAGTTAATAAAAATAATAAAATAAAGTGAAAAAAATCTAATTTAAATTTATTGCACAATAAGTACCTTTTGTGTTTATTCATGAACACTTTTCATTTATTTATTTATTTTAAGGTCTCCCGCACTCGTTTTTATTTTCAATATTATTGTTATTTCAAACGTAATAGAAAATTTAAAACAACCAAACAAAATCATTTTTTTATTTATTTTTATTACACATATAAAGCTATATAAATTGTAATGTGAAGATGATTTTCTACAACTATTTTACTATATAAACTATTTAAAATGACTTGTTTTAGAAGAACCAGCAAAATAAAACGACATTACGTTGTTCAGTTCACATAAATAAAATCACATTTTCTACACATTTACCTACATACGTACATATGCATACGTTAAATGAAAGCCAAGTAAGCAAGCAAATCTACATACTAAACGTTTATTATATATTTTGTCGCATTATTTTACAATAGCGAATAAAAGTAGAAACATGCTAAATATGGTTAGGTATAAATTATAGATTTTGTATATATTCAAAAAAACTGGTATATAATACATATTGACATTGAATATATTGCTGCACTATATATTTTGCACAAAATATTCGTTTTTTTTTGCAAGTTTTCCTCTAAAAATGTTAGTGATTGCATATAGAATTTTGATTAATAATATTCGATTTGGCCAAAAGACAACAAAAGGAGATAAAAAAAGTAAACATTCATTTTTATGCCATAAACTTTTCACTAAAAACACCAAAACAAGTAAATATAAAATATATAAAAAATGAAATCGTTAATATTTAGGTTACCGGAAGTTAATCATCTTGTTTTTCTAATTTTTAAAATATTGGTGCTGAGCATAAAATTTTCCCCAAAGAGTCTTGAGTTTTAAAACCAAAATACTAATATTTCAAAATATATTCTAACAACAAGAACATTTTGCACACTTAAAACATAGTTTTGTATTGAAATTTGGTTATGCTATAATGTAGCAGGAGCACAATTTAACATATCAATAAATAAATATTTCGAGAATTTGATAACAAAAAGACGTAAAGACATTCGCTGGAATAATAGTACGTATTTATTACTTTGAATAGACCAGTGTAGTTAGGAGCATTAAGTGGAGCCCAACATAAGAAATAACAACTATATGTTATTGAAAAAGTTTTATAATTACAAAAATTAATTAATAAATTAATTCTAACATAGCTATGATTCAGAATTTTCAATGATGATTAGTAATGTCGTTCGAAAAACATCTTTGTCATTACTAGTTCGAAACCCTCATATATATCTTTATAATGTGCCCTTTTTAAGGATGTGATTAATCATTAATTGATTATTAACGAAGAAAAAAGCCAAAGAACATTTTAACATTTAGAACATATGCACGATATCATACGGCGGCATGTTAATACTAAACTAATCTGCATACTTAGGTTTTACTGACATGATAACAACTCATATAGTTTGTTTTAAAGCTTCGTATATGGTTTCATGCGTTTTATTGGAAATTTTATTGCATATTTGTAAAACAATTTTTCAACTGCATTAACACAATATTTTTCAATGTTTTTCATTGTTGTTTTTACCGGCAGGATATCATAGACTAAGAAAAGTGTTGTGATCTGATTAAATTTTAAGTATGTCCAGTTTTTAGAAAATTTATTTTGGATGAGATGCCGTTGTGATCAGTTGTAATGTCGATAGTGCATTTCTGTATTTCAATTACCTCTGAGCAATTAAATGAAAATTTAATATTACGTCTTTCTTAAATTTTAGTTTCTATAAATTGACAAACTGTGATTTGACAGAAGATTTTTTGCAATTCCACCAACAAAAACGGAATGCTGTTTGAAGCAAACCACAAAAAGGTGTTGCCATTGCAAGTCTTTGTTAGAAATTAAAATGAGAATTCAATTATGATAACTAGATTTTTATTGGTCGCATTGCATACAACATTGAATGACAGAGTGAGAGGAAGGCAGGGGTCAGATTTAAGATGTGATGACACAAAATTTCATAGGTCGAGTTTTCGGCTGAAATGCACCTTTTCATGATAGGGAAAAACCTATCTTTAGTGAAATGTTGTTCTATATCGCGATACTCGTGTATCTCAGTTCTTGTTGAATGGATTTTCATGAAAATTTATGTCTGAGTTCACTTTGACTATGTACTGGATCGATCTAAATTTGAGACATCTCAGAATTGGACGTTTACTACGTGCTCATTTCACATTTGATCATTTCAAGCTAGTTTAGCTTTTTGAGGATTTCGTATGTTATCTAAGGAACTAATTCACAGAATTTCTTTACTTTTTTCAGAGAATTTTGATGGTTCGAAGCAAATCTCTACGAAGAGCCATATTTAAATTTTTCTAGAAATATTAATTAAAATTATACTTGCATTCTTAAGATTTAAAAGAAGCGTTTAAAGGACATATACATATTTTCATAACTTCTACAACACTTTTGCTAAAACTGAATGTGTACTACCTTACTATCGTTTATGTGCTGACTACATCACATTTTTAACGACCGTATTGTGTAAACAATAGCTAGGTGATGTGATGGCAACAAATTTTGCATATCGAGTTTTCGGTGGGAATGCACTTCTCCATAGTAGGGAAGTGTAAATAAACTGTTTTTAGCAACCTGTCGCTCCGTCGGTCTGTCGGTCTGTCGGTCTGTCGGTCTGTCGGTCTGTGTGTGCACGCGTGTATCTCAGGTTCTGCTGAACCGATTTTGATGAAATTTTATATGTAAGTTTATTTCGATCATGGCACGGTTTGATCAACTTTTGGTATATATCAGGCTTCGGGAACTGCACTTTTTGCGGGCCTGTTTTAAAT